CTCTGTGCCATGCAGCTCTGCCTTGGAGCTAACTGTGGACTGAAACCTCTGCAAACCTGAAGCTGAAATAACCTTTTTGCTCTTTAAACGGCAGGTGTTGGACACAGTGATGAGGAAAAGGAGTGTGAGAGTTATTTTAGGTGCCAACTTATATGAATTAAGAAATATCTAGAAACTTGGTAATGCATTCTTTAGCGTAAGTCCTCGAGCAGGTTTCCAGGCAGTCAGTGTGTGCCACTGAGAGGTGAGGTGGGGAAGAGCTGCCACCAGGGTGGGCGGGCACTGTCTGATCTACCAGGGCTGGAGGGGGCCAACAGAGGAGGCAAACTGGTGTCCTTCCAAGAGCTGGACACGGGCAGGCCAGGCCCTCCAGCCTCCGGACTCCAGGACGTACACCGGCGCCTCTCACTCTCGGTCCTTAGGTCTTCAGCCGCAGACCAAGACCTCCCTGGGTCTGAGGGCTCTGAACTTGGGTTGAGCCATGTTATCAGCAACCCAGGGTCTCCAAAGCCTACAGACCACCTTCTCAGCAGATTCTCCCGAAAAATGCCTTTATATATCTATACACATATTCTCTTGGCTCTGTCTCGGGAAAATTCTAATGCAAGAGAACACGGGAACATCTAAGAACATCGTGAGTGCTTACGCAGTTCAGTGTTGAGCCAGCATTTTTTTTTGTACTAGGGATCAAGCTCAGGACCTTGTCCTTGCCAGGCAGACACTGTCAATAAATATATGAATACCAACTGCATACCAGGCAGGCTACAGAGGGCTGAGATACAGTAGTATAGGAGGGCAGCAGCAGGAAAGTTTAAAAAAAAAAAAAAAAGTATCATAAAGGGGAATAAGCTACTAATGGGTGAAGTGGCTGACAACCTGAGCCCTACACAAGGAACCCTGGGGCCCAACAGAATGACAGAAAGCAGAGTAATGAAGGAGGGAAAACACTAGGAGATGCCGCACCGGTCTCGGGCAGTTTGGAGCAACAAAAGTCACCCAGGGCGTTTGAGCTGAGGAAGATTAAGACTTCATTTTGGGCTACATTTTGGAAAATGGATTCAACTGACTGAATGCTGGGAGATCAGTCACCAAGTAATTGCAATCGCTCAAGACAGATGCTGGGGCTGGGGAGATGGCTCAGTGGAATAAGTGCTTCCCTGGCAAGTGCAAGGGCCTGAGTTCAATCCCCGGTTCTGCAAAAAAATAAATAAAAAAAATAAATAAAAATAAAAAATAAGACAGATGCAGAGTGTGCTGAGTGGATCTGAAGAGACAGAGATTTCAGACAGGTTCAGTGGGGCATGCAGGTACCAAGGGCAGCAGCCGAGCTTACTGCCTATTTGGTTGTGTAGGGGAGTGAAGGCTTTGGCAGAAAAACTGTAAGTTTGGTTTAAGAAATGCTGAGTCTTGGATGTTTGTGTAAAACCCACATGGAGGAGGAGGAGTCCCGACAGGGAGGCAGGAGGAAGTGGGAGGCACCAGCATGGGGTGGGGATGGGGGGGCACTGGAAGCCATGGGGGCTGGCTTGAGAGCCGTGGGGGCAAGGGATTAGAGCTTCCTCATAACAAGTCGGGGAGTGGGTATGGTAGGTCACAGACACAGGAAGGCTGCTGAGAACACCCGGGCACTGTGACTAAAATTCTGCTCTGGCAGGTGCTTTTCCTCTGCAGCTGAGCAGCTGGCTAGAAATGGTGGCCAGATCTACCAGCTGACGGAGATCACCAGACGCACGAGAAGGAAACCAAGGGATGAGGACGCCTTAGAGCATACCAACAGCACCATTACAAATGGCAGCACCTGACACATTGCCTGTGTGACACCTTTCTGAGCATTTTTCACTATCAAGTCATTTATTTCTTTTTTTTTGTTTGTTTGCGGAACCAGGGATCGAACTCAGGCCCTTGCGCTTGCCAAGGAAGCGCTTATTCCACTGAGCCATCTCCCCAGCCCCAGTCATTTACTTCTTACTGCCCATGAGTTACTACCATCATCACCATCTGAACAAGGACAAGACAGAGGGACTGGCAGACAGAGTTCCAAAAGGGCCCATTTGTTACATTGTATTTCAAGAAAAATGCATTTAGTGGATGTTTTAAAGATAGTGAGTACCTCCATATTTTAAGAAGAGAATGTCTGTGTTAAGTTTCACCTAACACACATTTGTTGAGTTATCTACTGCTTGCCAGAGCAGCAGAGAGCTGTGATTAAAGGTGACCCCCCACCCCCAACGCCTCTGCAGGAACAAAGCCTGACCAGACTGCAGCCATCCTGAGTTGTAACCCCTGTAACTGCCCCTGAGTAACCCCAGTTGGTTTTCCCCATTTCCCAGAACACTATAAACAAACCCACTGCAGTGGAATGTGGCGCTTTCCGATGGACCCTGGTGCCAGACAGCACTAGGAATGCCTGACATCCTTGATTTATGAGCTCAAGATAAGCCAGGACCACTTCAGCTGGGATGAAAGCCAGTTTTATGCGAACTCTTGCATATGGTCCTTCCTCTGAACCAAGCTGCAGGGATTCACTCACTGGTCTTGCCGCTACCCTCAACCCCGCTTTTGAGTCCCCAGTAAAACGACATTGTATGTGGTCTTGAGTATGTTTGCTCTTTGCTCTCCTGGCACCTCTGGCCTACAGTGGTGAGTTCTTTCATATCAGATTCTCCCAGAACAGCTTCTTTGTAGTCTGTTCACTAAGCAGGTAATGGTGTGCTAGAAGCCAGAAGATCTGGGTTTTTGTCTTTAGGCATCTGGCCAAGGGCAACTTCCTGTCCTTCCCTGGCGCTATTTCCTTATGTACACACTGAGGGGCTGGGATGGGTAATCTGGAAAAGTCAGTTTCCACTCTACCGCCATGCCCTGCTAGCTTGGAAGGACATGCTATTTCTTTATTTATTAATTTTTATTTATTTATTTAATTAATTTATTTGTGTGTGTGTGTGTGTGTGTGTGTGTGGCCAGCTCGGCCCACCAGGGGGCGGGGCTGGCTGGCATGTGGTGCTGGGGGATTGAACCGCGGTCCCTGTGCTTTGCTGAGCTTGTTCTAAGTAGGTGCTTTAGACCACTGAGCCATCTCACCAGCCCCAAGGACATGCTATTTCTGATCCTTGGCATCTGAAGGACATAGTGGTGTAGGTTGTGGAAAGCTGGTCCAAGGGGCAGGGGATCCTTTCTGGAGGACAAGGGCTCCTCACCTCTGCCTCTCCTCAGAATGGAGGCTGCAATCTAAGAACAATGGGGTGAATGCTTGCTGAGATGGGATGAGGACAGGGAGAAACCACTCTGAGCCACCCGCCACCACTTTACCACCAGACCCACACGAGTCCCTTTGCTCAGGCCTGGCTGGGCCGCTAACTTTACTGGCAAGAAATGAACCTTCAGCGCCTCCAGCTTTTCTCGGGTTAGTCACAAAAGTCCTTTCTGGGTGACATGATCCATCATCAGGTGTTTTGGTAGCCTGTTATCACTCCCTTTCCTGTCAGTGAACCACAGCCTGGTCAGGTGCCTGGTACCTGCACTAAGGACAGGAAACAACATGGCTGAAACCACAAGTTGGCATCCTCATCCCCTCTGTTTCTACTTACCTTGCACCTTCCTGTGGATTCAGAGTGCAGTTCAAGTACTTATCATGAGTTGTTCCACTTAGGTAAGAATGGTTTCGGCTACTTATTACCAAAAACTTCCTTTTAGAAACACTTGCAGCACAGGCAACTGAGCCCAGTGACCCACCCCTGCTGGCACAACGCTGAAGAGCCTGGAGCAGCCTCGAGGTTGGGCCGGCACTGCCTTTCTCTGAGGCAGCAGAGAGAGGAGGGGAGAGGAAAGGGCAGACTCTTCTAAATGTTTTTCAGAAGGCTTGCGGACCCATGAAGGTGACTGCTGTGTCCTGCCCAGGAGCACTGAAAACAAGCTGGGCAGCAGCTGCTCCCTACAGCAATGGAGTGGTGTGAACTGAATGGAGGCAGTCGCTGGAGCGGGGAGGGAAGGGGGCGAGGGGGCTGTCAGGCTACGACACAATCTGCATACGTGCTTTCAGACAAAGGAGCCGAGGCAAGGTCTGTGAAGTCATCTACCGAGGGCCTCATGGCACTACGTAGGACCACCGAGATTCCATGGAAAAATGGTTTCTCCAGGACCACGCTGCTCCTTGCAGTGACCACGCACCTTCTGGAAGTCACGGGGTATGGCCAATGGAGTTTTTGACCTTTGAAAATGCCTCCTCCTAACGTCACAGCCCACACACTGGCAGGGTTCTGAATTCCACCTCACTCAGCCTACACCCCCAACGATTTTGTCGGGCAAGCAAGGAGGGGTTGCACACCCAAGAAACGGCTCAGACAACACCAAATGTCTCACAAGTTTATTTGAAGGAGGTCATATCTACACTTCTCATTTCAGTGTATAGACAACTCACAGTTCAGTGCTGATTCTAGTAAAGCTATACAAAACTGGAACACACTGAATATAGTGCACTTGATAGAAAAATAAATTACAGTTTCAAAGCTACTGAAGAACTTTACACATATAAAAAGTAAACAAAGTAGTTAGTGAGGTCCTGCTAACCAACCATCTATTGGATCCAGGTCTGAAGATAAGAGTAAAGGACAGTGATGCAACAACATCTCTGATAAAGAGAAAGCCGGACGAGTGACTGAATCTGGTCTCAGCAGCATGATAAGGTAATGGCTTACAGATCCTACCACTAGAGCTGGGGCAGAATCCCACCTGTACCAGCAGGTCAGCACGGCAGGACTCAGCTTAGGGAGAGCTTCTATAAAACAAGCCCTAGTGCTCATCCTGGGGCTAATGAGTAGGAAGCTTTCAACCATTCTCTGATCACTCAAGAACCAGTATTTATGTTGTTGAGAGTAAAAGAAAGAACAAATAGGGGCCGGGGAGATGGCTCAGTAGAATAAGCGCTTCCCTGGCAAGTACAAGGGCCTGAGTTCAATCCCTGGTTCTGCCAAAAAAAAAAAAAAAAAAAAAAAAAGAAAGAACAAATAACCTAGAACTGTGCAGTCTTTGCTCTACAGAATTATATCCAAATTTCCAAGCAACTACATGGTAACATTAACCAGAAATTAGTGAGCACTCACAGAGACAGAGCTGAGACCATGAACCGCACCTTCTGGCCATGGCACGTGTGTGAGGACACGCACCCAGATGGGCCTCCAAGTGGCAGTCAGACTTCAGAACCTGGGGGAACCTCACCTGCCTTCCAGGTGGCCACTCTACAAAGCTAGAAATCAGGGGCAGGGATGGTTGTAAATAAACTGTACCGAACACAGCCACGTTCCTGTGTATTGCTGTTGGCGCTCCTTCTGGGCTGTGCCAGCAGAACTGAGGCAGAAGTACTTCCCATCCCTAGAAAGGCATGCGTGGGACCTCTGAGGGGCGGGAAGACAAACTCTGTTTCTCTAGATCCTTACTTGGAAAATATCAAAGGCTGTGACTAGCAAATAACTCCACTATCAAAGGTTCTAGAGGGACAGTGGAACTTTCAGGTTTTAGCTAAGAGAAGACAGAAATATAAGTTTTACCTTGAATTGAGAGCAAATGGTTTAGAAAAATTCCACATCCATAGGACCTCTTGAGATTGTACAAAAACAAAAGCCAAAAAAGTTAGTAAAACTTGTACAAAGTATGAATTTTCCTTGAAGTGTAAAGCTGTCAAGTGACAAGGAGGCTACTCACTGCTGTTAGTGCGTCTCCTGAAGAGTAGGAGGGAAATCACTGCGCGGCTCTCCTGTCAGAAGGGAGATGCTGCAGACAGAACTACGATCTCACTGATGAACTCCCTGCTGAAGGAGTCCAGGGCAGCGAGCTGCAGGTTCTCATCTTATTTAAAAGCCAATGACAACCCTCTCGCCTCCTAGCAGGAGCCTCGCCTGGCCGCTCCCCATGAGGAAGCAGAGCAGCTACTGCAGCACTGTGTCCTGTGTGCAAAGCCAGCAGGAAGGCCTGCAGCGTCCTCGCTGCACCTTGTGCCTCCGCACCCGGTGTCTGCTCCAGCCTCTGGGCCAGCAACTTCCACTGCTCACACACACTCTCCTCTCTGTCAGGCATTTCCTCGACCTGCCACCACATGCACAGACCTCCTCAGCCCTGCCTCTTCCCACCACTACTGTCCACAGGAGAGCACAACAGCATGAACTGGTGTGGCCGCTCTGGGACAACACTGGCAGCAGCAGTGACAAGAATCTTGCATCTGACAAGTATCCAATCTATCAGGGATAAGCCATCATTCATATTTACTATTTCATGTTTGGGTATTTCACTTTTAGTAGAGATGTAAAAAAGTTCCTATCAATATTATGACTGGCAAGAATATAGATGCCTAAAGGCAAGTGATGACATATTTTTAACAGCTTAATTTCTAAATTGTGGAAAGTTTTCTTTTCCTTTTTGGGTACCAGGAACTGAACTCAGGATCTCACGCCTGCCAGGCAGGCACTTGTGCTGCTGAGCTCTCTGGCCTGCAAAGTGTCTCCCTTCTAAAGTGGACAGGAAATTCAGGTCTTCCCAGCTACAATGCTTTTAGCGGCTCTGTGGTTAGGAACACAGCACTAACCATCCAGGATGTTTGGGGTTGTCGAGAACTAACAAACCGACGCCAGCGTAACACGTTCTGGGGCAGGCCTAGGCTCTGCGCTGCAGCTGTGAGAAACATGTTTTACACTATAAGCAAGGACTGCCGAGAGCAGTCCCCGGGAACTCACAAGCTTAGCATAATGGCTACAGGGAGGCAGCCGGTAACAAGCGCTAGCTTTCTCGCTTGCAGCAGAATGCTCTGTGGAAAGTGCTTTCCAGTCTCTACGGCTCCCTGGAAAACAATGCAAGACTCCAATGTTGAGCTTTCAGTTTGATCCTGGCGTGGCTGCCTGAGCACGTAAGTATGATACGGGGAGCCTGGGGATAGCTCAACCACGCAATTTTAAAGACCATGAAGCTGGATGTTGTTTTATACTGCGTAGTACAAATAAATGCTCAGTTAGTTATATACACACTTGAGGGAAGCAAAGTGAAGAAACAACGCCTAGGAGGCGCACTGCCCCAGCCCTGCCTCGACTCCAGATCATCTTCCCCACAGCAATCAGGGGTTCCTTTTCAGGCTAGTGAAAGCTAAATTAGGGTTACCTCTGGGTTTTGGGATAACAGGTGGAGACCTGTCTACTTCCCTGTGATGAACATGCACCACTTTAACATCCACACATTTCGTACAGCCTGAGGGGATGGAGGACTACTTGAGAAGTCTTTTAACTAATAAAGTCCCTACTGCAGTATGACTGCTTCTAGCATTCTATACAGAGCTCACCACATGGTAGGCCTTTAAGAAACACAATCTCGGCATTCTAATCCCTGCTCCCTGTCTCTGTCTTGTGTTGTTTTTCTTTTTTCCAGTTTGAAAGTCCTCCATTTGTTCAGCTTATATAGAAAGGAAGTGGAGGCTATGTCCAAACAGGTACTGACATTAGTACTGCCTTTTGTACTGAGTCCAAAACGGGAGCCTCCTCCCCTGGCTCAGGAGGGCAGGCGGATGCCTGGGGTGCATCCCTAGGTCTCAACGAGGACTCTGCCCTCTCTCAGGCACCAAAATTAGCAGGGTGCCTGGGAACAGGTCCTGTGGGAAGGCAAAGCTGTAAAAATACACGATGGGAAGTTGATCTCTTTGTTGTTCTTCAGTGTTTATCTAGTTAACTGGAAGAAAACTACTTCATAAGAAGTCAAAAGCAGGGAGACAATGAAAACTTTCTGTGTTCTCAACTCTTTAGTATTATACTACCTGCAAGAAGAACTGACCTTAAGTCTAGCTAGGTAATATCTGCATCAATCCCTAAATTCCTGACTTACAGGCAATGCATGGAAAAGTACAGTTTCTTTAACAGGCATTCAGATCTAGGAGGCTTGATCTGATACTACAAAGGGAAACAGCAATGAGAGGGTGAAGGCTGCAGCAGCAGTCTCATTGTCAAGTCATCACAAACAGTTGTAACCGCTAGGTGGAGCCAGGAGTTTGAAAGAATGTGCAGGCAACATAATCCTCTTGAATCAGGAATTACAAACTCTAATGGAATTACAGAAAGTAAAAGACCAGATCGCTTCCCTTGGTAAAGTACACAGTTGATTACATTCTTCCAGTTGGACGGAAAAAGCAGCCTTTTAAAATGGAGCTGAAGTTAAATGTAGGGAGAGCTCTTTTACCTATCTACAAAGGACAGACTCCAGGACGGACTGCTAGAGTGCGGGCGTTCCTGTCCCCAGCTGGCACGAGCGGTCTCCTAGAGCTCAGTAGTCAGTAAACACTTCTTCAGGACAGCATCTTCAGCCGGAGTTGACGCAGAACTAAAAGGAAGAGAGAACGGGCATTCAATGAGAATGTCTGGGGCAGGACCTGCGGAAGGCACAGGACCTCCATGTTCCCATCAGCCCACACGGGGATGTTGGTGCGATTACAGACCTAAACAGCTATGTGGTAACACCTAATTTAGGCAGTAAGATATTCTGCAGAAGGAACTTTTCTAGATAAATGACTGTTATTATATTTCAAAATGTAAAATACCGTAGTTTTGTGACCTGCTGGACTGGCACTTGGCTGGAATCCCAGCATACCAGAAGAATAAAGTAGGATGTTTGCAAGTTCAAGGCCAGCCTGGGCAATTTAGTAAGACCCTGTCTCAAAGTAAAACAACAAACAAAAAACGAGTTAGGGATGTAGCTTAGTACAAAAGCCCTAGGGTCAATCCCCTAGTACTACCAAAACCAGTGCAAGGGCGCGTGCATGCGCGTGCACCCCCCCCCCCAAGTTTCCTTTACCTCTGGGAATATGATGTGCCTAATACACAAGTATCCATCTCCTCAGGAGTCAGGGATATGAATAACAAGAACCGTCCTATGCTGAGCAACATGCTTAGGAGACAGCAAACGCAACACCGGGCCCTGTACTTCTTTACATAGTCCTAGATAGTTGTGCCCAAGTCCCTGTATCAGTTCATCTATTAGAACTCTGAGAAAAATGAAATGACATGGCCTTCGCTGAGGGCCAGAGAACTCTGCTGTGTGTGAACTGAATGACCTTAGATACAGGGAAGTATCAACATCTAATTTGGTTTAATAAAAATTTAAAACAATATCAAAGTACCTGATACAAGAAAAGTACTATAAAGGCTAAAAGCACCCTCAAGATTTATAAATGAAATACCAAGCATCTTTACTATCACTCTTCATTCTTACTACCCCACAGGAGTCATTTCAACTGTTTTCTCTCGTAGTTTCTTTCACTTTCTGTATCTCCAGCTCCAAAAAGTGTTCTCGGAATTTGTTAGAAATGCCAATTCTTGGGCCACACCCCAGGAACACTGAATCACACATTCCGGGTGGGGCCAGCAGCCTGGGTTTTAACAAGCCTTCCTCCAGAGACTGCTTTATAAACAACACAAGTTCTGCTTGTTCTGAGTGATGTGTTTACTGTGACGGATCAACCTTCTCATACCCCACTGAACCCCGGGATCTTGCCTTCCTTTCAACATCTGACTAATCTTGTTCATGTTAATATTCAGCATTTGCTGAAATTACGCAAAAATTTTCACAACTGGGTGTCAGTATATTTCTTCTATATAATTTTTGTTTGTTCTGGATTCAATAACTGACCTATCTAAATAAATTTCATGTAGAACTGTGACTCTCTTCTCAGCTTATACAGGCAAGTGACGTAATTAAAAAATCTGTCGTTATGTCTTTTTTTCTTATGGAAAAAAATCCTCCCTGGAACTTTGTATCCTCTTTCTTGAATCTGGACAGGATCTTTTCTAAACCCGCTGATGAATAGCTGCTGCTCAGGACTTTCTTCAGGTATATTCCTATCCCTTTTTACTTTTTTTTTGGAGGGGAGGGTCACCTTGTTTTAATAGAATATATCTTCCAGTAGCTTCCTGAGAAAGGATAGTTGGAAAAACAAAAAAAACAAAAAAAAAAAACAAAAAAAACCACCATTTTTGAGAACTGTATGTCTAAAACTATCTCTAACCTTTTTTTTTTTTTGGCAGAACCGGGGATTGAACTCAGGCCCTTGCGCTTGCCAGGGAAGCACTTATTCTACTGAGCCATCTCCCCGGCCCCAAAGACTTTTTTTTTTTTTTTTTTTAATCTCTGTCCTAATACCACATTTCACTGATAAGTTTTTCTGAACATAACACTTTAGTGAAGGGCTGGGGAAATGGCTCTGTGGCTTAAGTGCCTACCTGCAGGCGCAAGGACCCAGGCTGGACCCTGGGTACTGCATGCCAGTGCTGGCCCTGCGCTGAGCCAGCCACTGAAAGTGGGTGTGGTGGCGCACACCTGTAATCCCAGCCGGGGAGGCTGAGACAGGAGCATTACTACGAGTCTGACCTGTGTAGCTAGACCCTATACCAAATACACTTTAAAAAACCAAAACCAAACATGTTAGTGAAGAATGAGTTCCTTCCAGAATCCTGAAGGTATTGCCCTTGTCTTCTTCTTTTTTTTTTTTTTTTTGCTCCTGGTCTTCTGGCTTTACCTTTTTTCTAGTTTTTGGGAAATAGTTTAAATTTTCAATGCATTATTTGGATTTCATTTTTAATGTGGTTAATAATTTCTAAAAGTAATTCTTTGTGTTCTTTTATAAAGTTTCCTTCTAAATTTAGATAAAAATTTTGCAAAGTTTTCTGCATGCTGTCTTTATTTCGTTTTTCAGTTGACTCTTAGGGTTTCCTCATACATCTGACAATCTGTTCTCTTATGTAGTTGGTACAGAGTCTCACTACGCAGCTTGGACTCACAGTGATCCTCCCGTCTGCTGGGATTACAGGTGTGTGCCACCGCACCTGGTCTCGGTGGCCCTCAGCCAAGTACTCCCAGTGGCAGGACCGGTGCTGCATGTGGTGCTAGGGATTGAACTCTGGTGTCCCTGCACTTGCCTAAGCAGGTGCTTAGTCTGCTAAGCTATCTCACCAGCCCCAGTTGTCTGAATTGTTTTTTAGGAGAGTTTTATTTTTTTGTTTGGTGCCATGGACTGAACTCAGGGCTTCTAGCTTGCTAGGCAAGTATTCTACCACTGAGCCAAATCCCCAGCCCGTTATTTTATTTTTATTGTATTTTAGTAAGGGTCGACAGGGTCTTACTATGTAGATTGGACTCCCAGTGATCTACCTATGTTCAGCCTCCCAAGAGCTGGGATTACAGGTGTGCACCAATTGTGTCTCAGTGTGTCCTGGGAGCGGGGCTGGCAAGACAGATCAGGGATCGAACCCCAGTCTCTGTGCCTGCCTAAGCAGGCCCTTTAATCCACTGAGCTATTTGGCTGGCCCTGTTATTTTAAATAGAATCAATTTTGTTTCTCCTCCGAAAGTTGCCTAAGAACAGAAACTGAGAAATAATTTCCTCACCTGGTCACATCGTCTACCAAGAACGGCGCTGGGGGAGAGATTGGTGAGAATCCATCTTTATTACTATGTGCTTCTTTCTCTGCCAAAGACGTCCCGCATCCAGCAGGTCCATTAGGAACAGTGCTGCTCTGCTGTGGGAGACATAGCACACGTCTGGACACCACAGTAACAACATGTACCCATTTATACCTCAGCTCCAAATAAGCTCTAGTAATGACTGTCAAGAAGAAGATAATGTTGACATTCATGCTGTTTTGTTTTTTAAACAATCCTTCTTATTCCATTTTTACTTTTGTTTTGCCTGCATGCTTAAGCACTTACAAACAGGAAGATCAAGTCATGAATTTGAAGCCATTGTATTGAGTTAACAGACCCTTGGTAGGGGCACCCATGTTTGTAAAGAAACAGAAGAGATGTCCATTTAGGCTTACCTCTCAGAAAAAATGTCATAAATATGGACTTACTGGGATGATCCACCGGGGTGTGATCATGGATGCTGAGGACACCTAAAATAAATGTAAATATTTACTTTTAGGGAAGTAAAAGGCTGGCTTATTTTCATAATTATACTCATAATACTTTCTTCTATTATGAAATGTACTATACGGAGTACAAATCTTAATGAGTTCCCCTTGACCTGATATAGACTTGTTTTTTTGGCGGAACCAGCGATTGAATGCAGGCTGTCTTAGTTACTCTTCTCTTGTTGCTGGGACAAATACCCGACACTCAAAATGAAGGAAGGAAAGGTTTATTTAGCTCATAGTTACTGGAGGTTTCAGTCCATACTCAGCTGGGTCCAACGCAGAGCAGCACAGAGCAGAAAGCAACCTTTCATGGTGGTGGCAAAGAGCAAGAGAGCGAGGGAGGGGTAACAGCAGCTCAAGCAGTTGGCTTCTCTTCCCACCTTACAATGTAATGCAAATTACCTGCCCCAGGGTAGGGGAAAAACTCACACCTATGGGTACTTCCCAGTATTTACCCACCTATGGGTAATCCCAGCAGTACTAAAACCCATAATCCCAGCCTTGGATCACACATAATCCCAGTGGATCATGA